GTATATTTTTTCTAAACCATTTTTATAACGTATATTTTAATGTAACAAGCTTACTCATTGACAAAGCGTGTTCAGCCGTAAAAAGTGTCAAACTAATGTTTTGGCAAACTTGGCAAGCGTGACAAAACGTATGAGTGCGAGAACGAGAAGGTGCAATAATCAATATTTACGTGAGACAGAGGTAGACTGACAATGAAGCAAGCTAACTGCCTCCCTTTGGAGAAAAGAGCTTTAGCACACCTCGTCTACATGACACGCATGAGGCGATGTGCGACCATACCTATGATTGAATGAATAAAATATTTACTGTTATTATTATTCTGCTAATGTGACCATTTTTTGTGCCACCACACGGTTTTCATCCGTCCAGTTTTCTTCTACAAAAATGAGATGATTTTCATACATAAGGGATGACACCACTATAAGCTTTATATTTCGATTATATATATATATATATATATAATATATATATATATATATTTTTTTTTTTCGTACATTATTCTAATATCAAGTAATTACTTTTTTTTTTAAATAAACAAATGAAATCTGACTATATCTGACTGTACTTCGTGACATATCAATAAAGTAACAGCTTTTATTAACAAAAAAAACCACTATGCGCTTTCAATGCTCTTACCAAAAATATCTCTGGCTGATTTACGAACAGACGCCCTTATTACCTGAATCCATAGCTATTACTGGTAGATGTTGTAAGTGCAAAAACCTAGACGTGTACCTCGCGTACGGCTTAGGCTCCTATTAGAGCAACCTTATGCACGACAGTTCAATCATTCTATAATTAGTAGAGGTAGAGAAATTAGTTAGATGGAGGAAAGTACTGACGATGCCCATGATTATCAAAAGCGCAGACGAAGGAATTCTACTAACAATCGTTTCAGGTCATCGCCCGAATGCTGGAACCTCGTATGAAGCTGTTCGGCAACGGAGTATCAGAGAACTTGATGATGCAAATGGCCGCATTCCTGTTGACGACGAAACGAGGGCCGATAAACATTTCAAAAAGCTGGGCAACCTCGAACGTTTTCCGTTATTGGATCTTTGCGAGATTCAACTTCAACAATTACATCACCACGAACAGGTCCAGCATCAGCAGGGGTCGTCGTCGCCGCACCAACATCGTCAAAGACAACAACAACAACAACAACAACCTTGTCCGCCTTCAGGATTCGCTTCGTGTAGTCTGGAGGCGGAGCAGGCTTCCGAGATAGACGAAGCACAACACAACAGTACACTCATTCTTAGCACCTCAGGCAATTGCGGCAACCATCTACTAGACGGCGCTCTTGCTAATGATGAAGTGCAACATCAACGTCTTTGTGCCAATCTAGCGGCGTCTTCGATACCAGCATCTTCAATGGGGTCAATACCTGCAGCCAGCGGTAATCTAGAATTTCGCATCGGTGAAAAGATTCTTGTGGCTGGATCAACGGGCTTTAGCCTTACAAGTGTGAATGCTGGAAATATTCCCGTAACAAGCGGTGGAATGTCTGAAGAGGTATCATGTACCGTGTGCGGGAAACCTTTTCAACATGTAGACAATCTCCGACAACATATGAATGCACATCTTGGAGTAAAGCCATATTCATGCCGACGCTGTCCCTTCAAGACAACTCATCGTGTTTACCTTTGGCGACACGAACGCCAGCACAACGCTGCTGGTGAAAGTGGCCGAGGCCTTATTTCATGCGCGGTTTGTAGCACAATTTTCCTCTCCGACTATTCGAGAGCGCTCCACCAGCGCCGGTGTCAGGGAGGGCCTTCCGGCTCTGACAGAAAAAGGCCACACGATCTCGGTGAACCTAGCGGACGAAGCCACAATAAGGAGACCTGAATGATGAAACTGCAAATAGCTTTACACCTAATATATATATATATATATATTATGATCTCGAACCTGTCAATACTTCCTCCACCTTTGAGTTATTCTCTGAGCTGATTGCTGTTTAAAAAGGAAACGAATTATGCCCTTAAGTACTCGTGACAGACAAGAAACGTCCAAATAGTTCCACATAAACTTACCTGGATTGAAAATCTATCACATAAATGTATTACAGCAGGGGATATAGATGTGATAGGTTCAGTCCAAAGCTTAATTAAGCAGCTGATTATTTGCAGGACTTGTTGTTTGTGGGCGAGAGTGAAATTACAACGACTGCCAAACTGGAAACCCTTGTAATTTAGTAGTTCCGGTTTAATCTAATTTTAATGGATAGATGTTTTGCTTATTTAATCATGAACGCTTTCTTCATATATCGATGGTCAATACTTTACACCGGTGGGCAAAACCGCAGAACTACGCAATGTACAGAGACATTAGATACAAAGACAAGTAGCGAGATCTAGTCGTTCTATTTTCTCCCTAAGGAGAAGACATGTCAATCCCCCATGATCACTAAAGGGAAAAAGTTCCTGCTAATCGAGTTTTATATATATACCGAGTGCATTATCTGAGCAGATGTGTGATATTTCGAACTAGCTGGAACAAATAGCAACAAGGATCACTAAAAACAAAAAATGCTTTATAAGAAGCAGGCGCCATCTTGGTTGGTCAATGCTTACTAAATAAGCTATCGAACCCTAGTCATTTGACTACGTGACGAGTAGGCACTATATCATGTGTTTGGGTAACACTGCATTGAACTGTGGGGTATTTCTATAAATCGATGATGCTCATCATTAGCTGCGATTATTGAAGTACACGGGGGGTTGTCGTATATTGTCGAAAGCGAACAGCCGACGAAATTGGTGTAACTTCAAAGAGGGGCCATAAGATAGCACTAAGTCCTATTCAACTGTAATGCGTAGCGAAGGCACATAATTCATTTTGTGTTTAAGATCTAGCTATGATGATATATTCGTGAATAAACAAACGGTAATCTTCTCACGATGGTGAACATTATTCAAAGAGCGCGCTTGTAACACCACATTGCTAACAGCCTCTTCTGGTGAATTTAGTAGTGTAGGCATAAAATTAAAAGCTTTGAGCAAAAAATCAGAAGGCAAGGGGCGAAAAAAATTAAAACAGAGAACCGAAGGTAGATTGTATTTGTGTATGGTGAAAGATTTCATCCGATTGGAATAAAGGCGCCATATTTCTAGTCCAATGGTGGTCTTATGGTCATAAAGGCATAAACATTTCATTGCGGAAAAAACAAGTGGTTTTGTGGAAGACCCAGAGAGATAAAAAAATAAATATATTAGTCGGAGTTAGCGATGAGGCTAGAAAGTCATGCTTGTTATTTCTTGTTTGAGTTAAAATAAATAAATAAACACACACACACCCACACGCCCACACATGTTAAAGACACAATTTTTTTATCCATTTATTATCTGTGATTATATTATTAAGCATAAACTACTATATAGATATAAGTTTGAACCTGAATTTTTTTATTTATGGCAATTGGTTGAAGTGTTTAATGAAAAATAGTAACCAAAGTGCAATACATTGTTGTTCTAGAGCGTAAGTCAGAATATGAGCAGTAATGTTAAGTACTAAATATCAAAAACAAGAATTTCTCTCCAACTTGGCCAGCAAGTCCAAATTCGTGATTTGTAAATGTTAATTAACGATTCATGCCAAAGCAGGAACGGCCACTAAAGTTCGCCTGATTAGAACGATCCATGAAAAACTCATACTAATAGAGCGAAATATATTATAATAAAAATGGTCAATGCATTTTAAGTATTAATTCTGGCGAACTTACAATGGCAGTGTGTCCTAGAATTGACACTAAAATCGACCTCTTCTTCCAGGTTTCTGCCTTTAAAACGTTTCGACACGGCCAAAACAAGCAGGCTCTGTTTCGCAGAGCACGAATCATCTTCGCCTCGCTGTTGACGACTTCATTTAGCAGCATCTGTGGTTATCTAAGGCTATGATGGCTGTTGAGTCGCATAAGGCACACCAACGTCGATTGCCTTCATTCCCATTAACATGGGCCTACTCTATAATTGGCTGGCCGGCTGGCTACAGTTGCCTTCAGCTAGTTGCAACATCAGCGTTGGACCATCGTCGTAAACAGTTTTCATTTCCACAAGTTGTGGTATTGCGTTCTCAAGTTGCCTGCCGCTGGCACATATAGTAATGCGTCGTTGTTGTCGACGAGGTTACCGACGTAGTTGTTTCAACAGCCGGATCGCCTGATTGCCACCATACGTGAAGATGCAGCTTACGCCTGTGATTAAGCGCTTTTCATACTTCATAATACTGCCCGCTCGTTTATACCTCCAAACCGATCAATCTTTTTAGTGATTAACTTACCATCATTGATTGTTGACAGAAGCAGTAACTGATTTCTAGTGCTTTTTTGTCGCGTCTTTGTGTCTCTCCTACCTGTATGCTGTGCGTTGTGATTCTATGCGCAACAAAACATCAGGTTGCAGAAACACATCTCGATGAGGTTATCCTCTACCCATTGTCCTCTGCTCGTATGGTGATTTGAGCCTTTGATTGAATTTGCCGCGTGATCCGACTCTCCTGACTGACCGACTGATTACAATGCAAGCGTGTGCCGTGACTGCGTCGACTTTGTGCAAAGAGTGCTAGCTGCAGTGATACTTACTGATTATCACCTGGACTGACCTCGACAACAGAGTGAAATCGAGTGCACTAACAACAATCTCATCATGAACCAATGGGCACGACGGGGCAGCGGTATGGCTAAATTACTTCAACGGACTACTCTAAAACAGCGACTATCATTACAAAGGCGGGACGACTAGGTGTCTACATGGTACAGGATTAGAAACTAGTCTACCTTCTATCAACTATCCATTGTAGTTGTGTATCGATGATCGGTTGTCGTTTACGCTCTTACTAGTCGCTGGTCCTCAGGTAAACATAAGCCTACCTACCTGTCTGTGTGCAGGGTGCTTAGTGCCTGCTGTGTGTTGCTGCATGTGGCGCCATCTGGTGACTTCTCCTCTAACATTACTCTGTTTTTATACGTATTCTCTTGTGTTGTTGTTGTTGTTTTTCTTTTTCCCTTGCGTATCCCCATCCTTGTGTTTCTGTTTCATTTGGTGTCATCCGGCTTGGGTTCCTGTTATTGTTGTTGTTGTTGTTGTTGCGGTCTTAATTCGTCGTGGGCACTCGGCTGTCTTGCGGACCAACAACAATCGCGCACTCGGCACTCGCTGGGGACCACGGACGGCTCGGTCGATCGATGGATATCGACTCATCGGATGGCCGCCACCCCTTTCCCTTATCACGATCAACTCGGCAATTCCTAACCCAATAGGTCATGACGACCTGGTCAGCGCGGCAGACCTAGTTGGAGGCGGCAGTGCAGGCGATCTCGTCACTGGAGACCTAGTTTCGCCTGGCGATCTCATACCAGGCCATCATACCGGCGCTCTGATGTCGCCGGATGGAACCGTCGTAGCTGGGCCAGGCTCAGCAGGTGGCGCCGATCTCGCATCAGTCAACTCGTGTGCACCTTATCTCTACCGCTGTGTTCACTGCCCCTATCAAACAAACTACAAGCAGCGTCTGTTTGAGCACACTTCGACACATCTCGGCGTTAAACCGTATTCGTGTTCAATCTGCGGCTATAAATACTCGAAAATGTCGAATCTTCGACGGCACGTCCGAGAGGTGCACGAAGGCATAAAGCGACCAACACCCCGCAAAGACGGCGTTCGAAACAGCCCGGCTCAGAGTTCAAAGCTGGTGGATAAGGCCGCGCAGATGGCCTACCCTAGTAATCTGTTAAGTCTGCTTACGGCTTCGGCACCGAATGTACCAAAAGATTACCATCATAGCAAGGATAATTAGCAAAACGAAGATAATTAGAGGAAAAAAGAGAAAGGGGGAGAAATTGGTGTGGGCCAAAAGAGATGATGCACTGAGGCATTAGTGAGCGATATGTGGCAATAGGTCAGAAGTTTCATGTACTCAAACGAGACGCGTGACTTGATATGCATCCTTACTATGCAGCAAACGTGCATTTCAGTCCTCGTCGGATTCGTCCGTCTGTTAATCATACTACATCTTTTTTTACTAACTATCAAATTATACTAAACAGATTAGCAAGGTTGTATAGAGAAGCGCCCTCTTCAAAAACGATTTCAGTTAGAACAAGAAATGTAATCAGAAGGCCTCTTGATCATCGTCCTTACGTAATGACGATAATCTACTCATTTTTTCGTGGAATTATTTCCCAGCAAATTTGCGTGTACCACGCATAACAAAAAAAAAAAAAAAGAAATACAAAGGCGGAAACTATTTTACTTCGTTGTACTTAGGGGAAACATTAATGTTGAACTCTTGTGGTATTAAGCTTAGCCAGCCACTTTAGTCAACATCTTCCCACCAGTGTGTACATTCTATTTATTAATATATATATATATATATATATAATTTCTATACAGACATATATCGATTATTATACCGATAATATTATTGGATCTTAAGGAATAATGAGAAGAAAGGCCTGCTAGTCTTAGCTACGAAATGCGTAGTGCCCCTTTTGGGTCCACGCCTATGTCATTTTAAAATTCTAATTTATAATATAATAACAGTAATAATATTAAATTATATTATTAGTAGTATAATATTATATATATATATATGTATGTATGTGTATATATATATATATATATATATACATACATATATATATGTATATATATATACCGCGTAGACTCGTAAGATGAGAACTGCTTCTTGGAAAGGTCTCGAAAAATCACAACGTTCATAACAATGCACCAGTTGAGCAATTATCGCGCTGCAAAAATCACCCCCCCATGAATCATAGCAAACGCGCGGCAGAGCCGCAGTTGTTTTTCGAGAAATATTGCTTCTGGAGAAAATTGAAACAAAGTACTTAAACATATATACATTATATAAAAAGTAGGTATTTATTCTTAATTTATAACGTAGACCTACGCGAGCTCTTCTCGTAAATAATCGGACAGATTGCAGACTGCTTACGAGACTCTCGACAAATTTTATCAGGGTGGCTATAGCTCATCATAACTTAGTCTCCATCATCCTTCTTTCTCATCACCATAAAACTTTGATTTATAAAAAAAAATCTATTGCTTTTATTCTGGTTTCTACTAGGTACGCTAAGTAAAAGTTGGTGTAGTATTTATTCGTTGATTCCTATAACTACAGCTTGGTGCCCAGAAACAGCAGATGCGTGTTGCGAAACACGCTAGCCGTGCTCAGCGCTCAATAATTAGGCGTTGTTTTTAAGAGCTTATTCAATGTGGGTAAGGACATTTTAGGAGTACAAGGAATACTTGTACCTTTGTTTGCATCGCAGTGCCTTCTAGTCGGCTAGTTTGATAAACTAGGCCTCGACGACTCGTCGTCATGACTAACTGTGTTTTATAAAGCACATCCGCTGCCAGCTGAGGTTGAATCGAGAGCTTCAAGCCTAAACAATCGAAGTAACAAATCTGTACTGACAGCAAAGGCCAACACGTATAAGTAACGACACGGGCTGCTGATGTGCCTTATATGACGCTGCTATAGCAAAAGTACTTATTTTTTCAAGGTTGCCGCCTTTATAATAGAAGTGGAATAATGCATACATGGTATGCGTTACGAAAACAAGCGTTGATTTCTTGTTGGAAAAAAATATACATTTTGAATAGGTTAATTTTTTTAGTACAAGCTACGCAATTTAGCGCAGAAAGTGCTTTATATCTATACGTAACTTAATCTTGCAGACAACACCCAGGATACATTACATGCCGTAAAAAGGACACCGCCAAGTGCCAAGTATACAAAACGCAAATGCATCTATCCATTGATATTATTGGAAATGGAGATTAGACACGCTCTATTAGGAAAATGACTAGATCATAGCATCAAGTTAATAGAAAAACAAAAGCAAAACAGCTTTAGAATGTGTGTAGCTGCTGCCAAATCTGATGGTAAATGACGGAGTAACGCCAATTCATATTACTCTTATATCAACTCATATCTTAATCGTTCAGTCTCACCGAGGAATTGGTTTACTTACATACTAAGACAGAAAAAACCGCAGCTGTAGCGGCCACGATGTGATGAGTCATTAATGGTACAAATAAATATATATATATATACACGTATATATATATATATATGTGTGTGTATGACCATGGTAAACAAGGGCGCCCTCAGGTGCCCGGGAGAGCTTAGCCAACCGAATGAACACTGACCATAATCAAATATTATATATTTAGCAGAAGAAGTTTGGAGACGGCAGCAGCTTGGTTTTGTGTGAAATTATTAGTTAAAATAAATGAAACTATTTGCAAAAGACGCAAATATCACAAAATGGTGTCTTCAATTTTGGCCGATGAAGTCCCCAATGGAGGACGGAATCGGCTTGGTGTGAGCAACTAATTCTAGCACTAATGAAGCGTTGATTGCAAAAATGGAGACTGTTTGAAGGGCGGGTGCGGCGCCTTTCAGCACTTGCCATGGCACCATCTTAGAGCTGGCTTCAAATGAGTGGAAATGCAGCCAAATATATGTAGGGACATTACTCATGTGCCAAAGAAGTCAAGCGTAAGCACCAGCTGAATTGTATGCACTTAAAGACCATCAGTGGTCCGTTAGAACGCCGGTTAGTATCATTAAATACGTTGTGTGTACGTTTGATAGTGATGCATGGATCACTATTACTTAAGATTCATAGTGCTTCACTTTAACCGCCGCTTTAATCTTGGCTAGGCGTTGTTTTTTTTTTTTGAAAAACTATTGAAAAGCTCCATGTTTTATAAGATCATCTAGGATGAAGGCTAACACTGATCGACTTTGAATGCTGCTCACCGAATGTCGTTTTCTACGCATTGCTGAAGTTGTTCCAATACCATCAAGATGTCGCTGTGTGACAAAAATGGCGTGCAGTGAAATAATATATATTTTCTCTCTACAGTTCGATTGGCGTGTTGATTGATTTTTTTTTTTATAATGATGGTGTTGCTGCTGCTACTATGATTATAATTGCATTTTGGTTAACTGAATGGGGTGTCTCTCGTCTGCTCTAACCGCGGGCGCCCCTTTCAGAGGAAGCTGTGATTGCTGCGGTGACAACTTCTGGAAGTTCCTCTGCTGCAACGACGGGAAGTTCGTCGATCAGTCTCACTGGACTGGCCTTGCCAGCGTCGTCGGCTCGTAAAGGCTCTGCCCGCATCAAGAAAACGGACAAGGTGTTGAAAGCCGGTTCCACGAGCATTGCCGGTGCAAACGGGAGTAAAAATGTAGGATCTTCGGTCTGTGGACTAGGTTCCGCAGGAGAACGAAGTATGGGATCGATTCCTGGAGGAAATAAACCGATCACAAAAATTGAGCACCTCTGTACTCTGTGCCAATTCTCGACGCGGTGCTCGCTCGAACTCAACGATCACCTAAAACAGCATTTGAGCGATAGTGAGAGCACTCCGCAAAAGTGCACGTTCTGCACTCTCAAAGCGGAAAGCCTTGAGGCACTCTACGAACACGTCGGCAGAGAGCATCATCGGGAAAAGGAGTCTCTCACCCGAATGCTCACTGCATTCAAGTGCAGCCTATGTGGGTTACAGGCCAGCGATTATTCAACACTAAGCGGGCATTCGTGCGGAGATGATCTGATCGCATCTCCAGGCGCCGCTGGTTCGATCGGAAATGTCGCGCCGGCAGCCTCAAGCGGTACTATACTCGTCCCGCCGATCGGATTGGATCCATCAGAGCCTGTGCCGGCGTCTGGGGTCTACCCGAACCCCGACAATCACTCGACGGCGTTAAGTAGTGACACTACGGGAGGAACCGGAGGCAGTGGAACACAATACGCATGCGACTTCTGTCCTTACATTACGTTTAACGTTGGCAGCTTTCATCGGCACCGCAACAAGCATAAGTCAGCGCCGGCGATCAAATGCGTCTACTGTGGCCGTCCAATGATATCAAAATGCGCTTATGAAAGTCATGTTGCACGCCAGCACGTTGAATCGTTGCTCGGCACGATACGACAAAACATGGAGGGCCAATGTGTACGCTGCATGTTCTGTGACGAGCCCTGTGCACCAAAACAGCTTAACAAACATATCGACGTGGTCCATCAGAACGCTAAGAATTGCTTGCTCGACAGAAGTAAAGCGCAAAAGGTCTAATACGTTAAATAGGGGGGTTTACATAACAACCTTACAATACAACCTTATATACGTTGTCTCCTAGGGACTAAGAACCGGAGTTGATGTTATCTGTCTGTGCGACCCGTTAAGTGTTAAAAGTATTTAGAATTTAAACGAGGGCACGAATTTGATCTGCACCGATGAATCGGGAATTCTGAGGTGAACCGATGAATGTATGAATACAGTAATATATGGATGTGTGCTTGTATGAGAGGATGTGAGAACAAAACAAACGATGACGAGAACGCTGTCCGAACACAGGAAAAAAATGCTGAGCTTATTATGCTAAAAAGGTGAAAAATCAATCAATCAATGAAACATATTGTTGCCTTGTTACGATGTTCAAAACAGATATGGACAATTACCGTGAATTAATAATTTTGTCTATTATGATGACCTGATGTATTGGTATTGGAATATCTTCGAATTGTTGGAACATAATCAATACGCCATATATACACACACACACACACACAGATGCAGACAAAAATACAGTTGTAATCAGCAATATTAATAACAATTATTATATATAGTTGTAATGCGCATAGCAAAAGAGACTTACTTTTAATGTTACTCTGAAGCAGCCGGCCGGCCGGCTGGCGGGCGGACGGGCGGGCGGGGAGGCGTCTAGTACATTATCCCAAGACAAGCATAGGAAGGCTTCTTTTCAATAGACGCCTATATTTCAGATTCGCGAGAAGAACACAACAAGGTTCCTAAGGAGTGCGCAAGAAGAAAAATTATAAAGTACGTTGGTAGAGCATTATCGGCTCGCACAAAATACATTGAATATGGATTCACTCGTTTGTCATAATACAATATACTAGCAAGGAAACAAAAAGTAGTAAGGAATCGAAGCCTTCGGCGACATACTCTTGTCCTGTACATTTTCAGGACCATGTAGTCATTTAGTCTTTTTGCGCCGCGGGAAATCCAGCACGGGATCGCTACCCACTAGGGCTTCGCGCTGGCAATCAGGTGAAGAGACAGGTCCCATATTTTTAACAGGTTGTACGAGACCTGGGTTATTTGCATTTCAACTGGGTACAAATGCTAATGAAGAGGGGTAGTTTAGATGCGAGAAAGAGATTGTGTTGCAGCTCAGTGACAACGCGCAACAGGCGCACGGCATAATAATGGAATTTGTGGGTTTTTTTTTGCCTGGTAGATTATCGCCGAGCAAATCGAGCGTAATTAATAAAGAGACCCTTATTTTTATCAGTTCTTCGAAAGCAGTTGCCCCTGCGTTTCGTAGTTCTTGAAACCGGGAACTTCGGCGGGAAAACTGTTCAGCTGCTACTGTATAGAATCTACCTAGAAACGTCGAAGACAATTGTTTAGGTGTAAATTACACAGTAATCGAAGAACGAATGTATCCATATTAATATACGGGCTAAACACGAACCACGGCAGGAGCGAAAATGTGACGGTTATGCAAAACGTCATAGATAAATGACTAAAAGATTCTCTGAAACTTTCAGAAAATTAATAATTGTTAAATTAATAATAAACTTGTAATTATGCTGTAGCTGAAGTGGGGTGACTATTATAGGAAATATATTAACGGCTGTATTTTGTTTCGCTTTCCAACCCCCCTGCATTGTAAATAACAACAACAACAACAACAGTAATGGTCATTATGATGGTAGTGATGATATACGATCTGTCAATACGAAAAAAAAGCGAGTGAGAAGCAAAGATGAGGGGATGTTTGGCTTGTTTCAAGCAATCACGCTAATGACGGTAATTATAATGACGATAACAATAATAAAATAAAAAATCAAGACTATAAACGGAAGGTTTCCCGTGTGGTCTATATAAATACATGTATATATACATATATATATATATATATACATATATATATATATATATATATATATATATATATATTCCTGGACAAACGCAGCTACACGGATTTTGCTGCTCACATAATTTAGTGATATTAGTTTTGCTTTTCTAGGTAGACATCTTGAAAGCCTATCACCCCCCTGATCCTGCCCAGAGGAGAATGTCCTCAATATTTTTGAAGGCGTTCCTAGCGTTCATATTAAATTACCATCAGAAGATTAGAAACTATAAATTATAAGATCACTTGCTATGCATGCAAAATCTTAAACACTATATGTTTTATATATATACACATCGAACATATATATATGACGGTATACTACATATGCAGTACAAAGCACAGCCAAATGAATGAGATTACACGTATTATTTCAGCGCTACGGTTGGCGGATAGCTGCAAAAGCAATTGCAGTGTCGTCAACGATGAATCGTACGTCGACGACACGGACAATCAAGTGATGTCTTCAGAGATTGTCGCCCTGGCGGCCGCGGCTGCTGCCTCTGCCCTGTGTTCACCTGCGTCATCGCAGACTGCCAACTCAGGCTTCAGTTCTATTGTGATCGGAACAGCCGGCAGCAATTCCGGCTCCTTCACGTGTCCCATATGTACGTTTTCGTGTGATAATATTTCTGTACTACGCTACCATGAAGGACTACATCACAGTGGAGGACCTCGTCCATTTGCTTGCCACCTGTGCGATTATCGAGCGAAGGTTCGATCGCATTTGACTTCGCATCTCCGGACGCACACCGTGGATCGGCCATTCTCATGTCCGCACTGCGAGTTCACAGCGAAAAGACCTAATCATCTCAAGATGCATCTGGAAGTGAAGCATTCGTTAGCGTCAGCGGTGGATCCTGGCACGTCTTCACCATCGCCGCCCGTAGTATAAGTGCTCTTGGGGGCGCAACCCCCAGACAATCGGAAGGCTTCGAGCTCACTAAGCGGATGTTCCTTTATTTATTTAATTATATATAAATGGAGTCAGCAGTAACACAAAGATGGATATTGTTAGTTTTTATGAACAGAAAGTAGAAATACTGTCCGCCGTAGAGCTCTCTGCATAATTCCAAAGACAAGTCGTCCTCATTTTCGCTTTAGACGATAGATACCATTGCACTTGACGAGTCATCATCGTTGTCCATTACTTAATGTACCGTATATATATAAGGTAATAAATACTCAATGTCGAGGCTTGAGTGCAGACTAAATACAATTGAGCTTGAGAGTGTTGCCGTAACGCACTTTATAAAATTCGAAGGAGAACTTGAATTAATCCTTTAGTGGGACGATACCTTTGGTCTGCCTTATTCGTTTTGTTCGTGAATATAATTTGTCCATAGAAAAAAAAACAACTGCATAGCATTTTTCTGGTTAACGGAACGCTCAAGTCGTCATATGAATCCTTGGCAATTATTATTAAAAATTTCATAAGAGTTAAACGAAACCCATGACAGTCACCAGGCAAGATAGGTCCCGTGCTTAGTATTGTGGAGTTTTGTTCGTTGTTTGGTGTCGCTAGTGCCATAGTGTAGGAAGAATAGTGAATTTAACTACTGAGCATAATTGTTAGCATTTTGTCTAGTGAAATGTTAGCGTAACTCCGCTCGGAAATTGTTGCGCGATAAGTAATAATAACAACAAGAGACAGTAGGACATTTCTAAGATAACACCCATGCCACCATACTATGCATTGTTAACTAGATGAACCGGTCTCGTGCAAACAGAACACCACTGATTATGAAGAACTCAAACAAAAGTAGAACAACCAGAATAAACCGTGTGTATAAATAAGCCATGCGCATTGTTGCATTAATTAGTTGTTTTCGAATGTTTGCGTGTATTTATTACAGTGCTCATGTAGATTCACAAAGCAGTATTTCGAAAAACGACGACTGATTGCATGGAACTATCTGATCTAATTGTTAGCCTGTAACATCTTAAAAATCGGGGCTTTTCTTCTAATGTGTTTATAGTACAAGGTGTTTGGTATCAACATAAACATGTCTGCAGTCTAGACGTGATCAGAGCATCCTACATTTGTTGTCGTTCGATGGAGCTTTTCGAAAGGTTTTAGCATCGTTTGACAGTATGCAGCAAAACTCCCGACGACAACTTCGATAATAACAACTTCGAGGTAAAACGAGACGCAATAGTGGCGCACATCTCCTCCAGAATTATCTACAGAACTCGACTAATTTTGCTTTTTCTTTCAGATTCTCTGTGTCGTTTGCATTCTGTCTGCTGCGAATGGCTGCGAGTGTATGAGGTGTGGTCCGAGTGCGTGACTAGCGCGTGGCATACGTGTGCCTCTATCTTCTATTCTTCATTTGATCATTTATTTATCGCTACGCTGATTATCGTTTAATTGTGGTATCTCTGTGTGTGCGTGTGTGTCTGACGTATAAACAGTGGCGTTCTGCGCACGTGTTTTCATCAGCGACGTGTCTATTGATTTAATGTTAGCGTATCAAAAGGGGCTTTATTATTGGTTGCAGACGGTGTGATAACACCGGCTGATTTCTGGCAGACGTCTAAATAACAATAACGCTTCGTTCGCTCATCTCACATTTAACGTACGGGCTTTTGTTGCGGTGGATATTTATACTAAATCTGTATAAAATACAACAATATTAACGTCCGCGAGCATTTTCTTCTATGTTCACTAAAATACCCAATGAGAAAAATAAGCTTGTAAAAAATAGTATTTTCGTCTTTCATCTCCAACAGCTTCGCTCCTTGCGTATTAGATCACTAACCCTCAATATCATTATACACAAGCTTGATAGCAAACAGAAGATGCCATTAGTGTATCCACATAGCAAATACTCTCCTATATGTTATAGTCATACTTTCATCAGACTTTCCATTTAAGTCCCCCCCAACGTTGCCGCCTGGATGAAAAAACGTATCACGCACAGACACACATGCGATGACAAAGTATAGTGCTAGGACGCACACCCGATTCCGCTATACGTCCAGCAATAGCTGAAAGCAACGCACAACAGTTTTCTGCTTGTTGCCGCAGTTGATACATTTTACCTGGAAATCAACGCATTACCGACGTTACTACGGCCGTCATGGCAAATGTCGCAAATCACATCTGCGCTCTTTATCATGGCGATGGTGACGGTGATGAGTCATCGGCGTTCTTGGGAGGTCGTTGGAAAGTTAACACCAAACGAATGGAGAACATTGCACTGAAGCGAGATAAAAAGATAGAAAGTCAATGCTTATTACTGCTTAATATTGAATGTGTGTTAGCTAGAGAGAGAGGGGGTAGGGAGGAGGGGGGGGGGTAGGAGGGCGTGCATGTACGACGTGCTGTTACGAATGTATGTATCGCGTCTTATTGGAATGTCCGCTTTGATTATCGCTTGCCTATTTTTTTTCAGTTTCTTTGCATGCAGGTGATGAATGAATAGTAGTTATTGCTTCAAACAAATAACAAACAAAGTAGCTAAAATGAGGTAAAAGTACGAAGCCGTGTGAATGAAACCGATGCGTGTGGCGTATGTGTGTCTATGCGGCCATCTCGTTTTGGAACATGACTCTTTTCAGGAATGGGAAGCGGGTCCGTAAAGGACGATAGGACAGCGCTGTCATCGTCGTCCTCTACAGCAACAGCAGCAGCTGCGACAACAGCGCCGATGGACGAAGACCCCCAACTTCGCAACATGACTTACGTTCAAGTTGGAGCACACGTGGCAATGTATCGAGGAGGCGGTTCCGGGTCGGACAGCTCACAGACGCTCTATGTCTGCACGCATGGGAATTGCAGCTTCCGCACACACTCGTATTCAACGAATTTGCGCAATCATCTAGCGGAACATTTCGGCGACCGTCCCTTTATTTGTGGAGACTGCGAATATCGCAGCGAGAGATTCGATTCGCTTCGCAAGCATTGTCGAGTCCATACAGGTAAGTTGTCTGAACAACAACAGCAACAACAACAACAACAATAACAAGGGATTAGTCGCATAGTATGTGCCTGTTGTAATGACAGAAAAAACATATAGTCAGATAGAATATTCTTTAGATGTTGAAGATTTCCGGGTCATTAAGTGAATCACCGTCGTCACTATGTAATAACACGATATTACTTTGATTTTTGACACGATCTATTTCCGCGACTGTTCCAGGCGAGCGACCCTACGCCTGTCCCGTCTGCGGCTATCGTTCCAAGACCAATTCGAATCTTCACGCTCACATTCGGACCAAGCACAACATGCCGTCGGGCAAAGCTGAACGAATGCCAAGCATCTGTGCACAGTACGACACAACAATAACAGCGACATCCGCTGTCTCTGCAAGCCACAACATGACCGCCGCGGGAACCGTTCTCAATCCGATTGTCACTGGAGGCGTCACCAGCAGCGTTGGAGTGCCAGGACCAATCAGCTTCGGCATTCCGAGCGTCGCTGCGGCTGCTGCTGCTGCCGGCTCTCCCAGCGCCGCGGTTAACGGAAACCGTGGCCACAACGCAAGCAGCAGCGGCGGTGAAGCCAGTGGATCGTCGCCCGAAAGCGGGCCCCGCTACCATGAAGTCCCTATTAGCCTGAACACTTTACCTATTCCGATGAGTCTATCATCGCTTTCCATTCCAAACTCATTCCATTTATCAGCAGGAGCGACACAGGAACCACCTATTGGCGGCCAACAGCAGCCCGAAGTCGCCCACCAGAAACATCATCGTCAGAGATCAGGCAGTAACGCCTCGCAGAAGGACTCGGCGGTACCAGATCGACAACCACTCGACTATTCGATGGGAGTGTTCGGGGTCAACAGGCCGAGCATGTAGAAAAGTAGGCCACGAGGGTCTTAAGCGTCAAATCAGCCGATTAGAATAATTGGACTTCGACTGGAAAATGGATCTCATCTTATGCCGATGAACACACTAGACGAAATATCATGCTCACACGTTTGAAGTACTAACGCGACTCTGGCGTTGTCACGCTGCTACGAACAACTAGCTTACTGAATAGTACTACCAATGGCTAGAGGTTTGATATAATAATATCTATATTTATACAATGCGAGTGCGAGAAAGAGCGCAAATCAAAAAGGAATATTGCACACTTCGACAAGTAACGCTTCTAAAACGCCCGCTAGGAACCTGGGAACAAATACACACAATTGCAATAGCAATATTATAAACACGGTAACCTGAATTGCCAAAGGCCACTTTAGTAACCATTATAATAGGGCAAAAAAAATAACTATATTTTAATGACGCAAGCCGGAAGCAGGGTATAAATATCGAGGAAGGTCCATTACTACAGCATTATGCTGCAATAAATAAAATTACACACACAAACACATAAAATATTCCAACGCATCGAAACATTCCCTAGGTAATGTTGAGTGTCGATAGGAGTTCGAGATAATTTATTTATAGAATAAGTTCAATTGTTCTGTTTATGTTCTGTAAGTTGCAATGGAGAAGACCTAAGTATCTTTGTAAAGAGCGCAGAGATCGGGGAGAATACGTTGCTATCTCTGTCTTTCGCTAGAACAAGTGATTACTTTATAAAGGCTTTAAAAACAGAGTGAGGTGTACGCCAAGCAAATTACGCAGCATTTGTACAACTGGCGACACGACTTTATGATGCTTTAACTTTATCATTCATTTAGCGCATATTAGTTTATATAGTGATCATGTCTGGTGATCATTGAGATCAGTATTGCGCATAGAATAGGCGGCAGAACAACTAGACAAAAGGAAAAAAGCAATGCCTGATATCGACCTGCTTAGAAAGCAAGAAGAAACTACGACACTACGCGCCATACGTTTCGTCCTTTGCTTCACTGATCAATTGGCTTAACACTGTTAGCGTCCCATAGTAAAAGTACACCCCTATTGGGGCTAAATCAGTTCACTATGAGTGTGGAAAAATGCCATACGGTCATATGTAAATGCGCTGGCACATTTGCAAGCTAAGCGTTTTGCTGCCAACAAAATATCGCTACCACACCCACTATTAAAGCTTCACCAACAGCTGTTATCACCAGAGTGTTATCCTAGAAGGTGTAAAATCTGTTTTTCCCGCACTCAAATTACTCTACACTAGATGGTAATGATAGTATCAATTGAGCTCAGGTGAGAACCATTTCAAAGGGGAAACATGTTCACCGAACCAAGAAGCTTATCAATGTGATCACTACAATGAAGATATAGCTTACTACTACAGCCGATCATCATCGCCGTCATTATCACCATCACCATAGTAATAATGATCATCATCATCACCGTCATAATCATCACAATAATAACGAAGCATGTTCATCGATAAAGCTATAAAAACTATGTAACGTTACTACTGTTATGTCTCAGGATGAACATTATACTGCACACATTCCATATTATTGTGTTTATGTTTATGATGAGTTGACGTGTTGTTTATGTTAATAACGAGTCGGGTGCATTGACGATTGTGTGCTCTTCTTGTTTTCTATTATTCTTATATTATTATTAAAACGTTGTATCTGTGTTTGTTTTCTCACCCTTCAATATTAAACCCTTTCAGATTGTATTTCTTCCGGCCAATTTAGCGGGGGCGCGCTGCCTTCCACATTTCGAATTTACCAGACTGTCAATTCGTTTGTGACAACGCAATTCTTTTGATTCATTCCGTTAGTTGATAACAGCAGATCTTGCTGTTACATGATCTCATTTATGAAGTAACGTATTAAAAATACGATCTTGAGACCGAATGTGTTTCTTGCTGTGTCCGTGTGTTTATGTGCCATGTAGCTGCTATTGTTTACCCACTATTGACCCCCTCCAGACGATGCTATCTTCAAGGCGCCGCTATTTTCCATTGACAATGCAAGCGATGTGATCTTGTTGATTTCATTGACACATCCTATAGTTGCCAAGCGCAGCGTTCAATAATTCCATACTTGATCGTGGCATTCCATTGCATGCGATCTCCAATTCAGCACGTCCTGTATCCTGGTCTCTGTGTTTAATGGCCAGGATGTACGCTTTAACCCACTGAGCATTTTTATACTTGATTTTTTTTATCGTCTGTCCCATCGTACGAACCTTGTATGTAGCTAATACTACAACCATTCAGGTGAAAACGTCTATTCTTCTCCGACACAGAGCAAGCGGACTGTCGTCCGCTCGTAGGGACGAGGTTCTGATTAAGCTATAGCTAAAAGGCTTGGCAAGGTGAAAAGTACCTAATTTTGGGGAAGTATTTTCCCTCACATAGTCTGAAACGCAAGCACAACTTGCCGCCTTCTTTCGCGTAAAGGACAACAATGGCCATTCGCTTTCCCACAAACGTACCGTGAAGTGAGCGAACAATCAAAATATATACATGTATTTATTTAAGTAAGACAACAGAGGCGACGTGTGTTAGCGATCAAGCTAAAAGTGTTTTTTCAATACAACAGAGAGATGGTACAGAATGAATGGGTAATGCCTGTCCATCGATAAAGATCTAAAGAATATATAGAAGTCGAGCGAAGAATCAAAATATATTTCGATAAATGCACACACACACACACACACACATATAT